TCATTCAGACATCAAATTCCAACAAATTTTGAAAAAAAATATAATTCAACTATTACTTCTACAGTGTTAACAACTCCAAAGTATAGATGACTGATGACAAACAATTGACTAACCACTCAGTACTATGTGCTCAGGTGAGCTAATAATTCCATCAAGGTAAATATATTATAATTTTAGAATGAGAAAATGTATCAGCATAATCCTAGTATCTTAAAGCCATATCTCAGGTGAAAACCAACAACTAGATAAACCAGACTGCTGGAATCCTTATCTATAACACAACCAAGCCATTAGCAAACCTTGCCTCTCCCCAAAAAAATACCACTTGCAACAGGTTTCTTTCAGAAACACCTATAGAGAAAATCTTGCAAAACAGATTTTGATTGAATAAACATTTGTAAATACCTGCCTTTGTCAATGCAGCATCAAATATACAGGTTTACATACTTTGTTTTTGTAACATCTTATAAAAAAAACATGCATCAATGTCTGTGGTAGAGCAGGAAAAAGAATGTAACAATGTCAGAGTAACAACATTAAATACTGTTTGTATGACATGCCAAAACACAAAGCTTATCTTAAATAATTATGTCATGAATTCAAGAGAAAACACTCAACAAGAAACAATTAATGCTAACAGTTATGCATGTATGGATTTGTTTAGAAAACATCAAATAAAAAGTTTCCCTTTAAATGATTATGTAAGTAAAGAAAAAAGCACAAAGATTATGACAAAATGTTACATAATGCTCCTTAATTTTTCAAACATTGCTATTTCTTTTTTGCCTTCATTTACCAATTCTTTTGAAAAAAATGTCATGTTTTCTGTATTTCCCATAATTTAAGGATAAATAAACACCACAACATGAGTAAAAACTTCTAAGATCTTTCTAAAACCCTGCCATTTTACTCACATCTATCCATACAAATATAGATGGAAAAAGTAGCCAAATTCATGCAACTTGTTGATAATTGGAATTTGGAAAGCTTTGATAGGTAACTAGTAATCAACCTTGAACACTCTTGAAAAACTTGTATTTTATAATCAAGGCTTTATAAGACAAAAATCTACTAAAATAAAATCTATTACCAAATTTTCTATGAATATAGAAGCTTTTTGTTTTATAGAAAACTGCTAATTGGCTCTTGAACATTTTTTCGGCGTAGCTGTATTAAAATGGATTTTGACCTAGATTTGTAACAAATGAAATTGTTAGTTACAAAATCTTCAGCTAAAAGAGGGTGTTTTTCATTGGTGGAAACACTGGCTGTTATGAATTTAAGGACAAATTCGTAATCTTTAGTTTACTTGTCTCTAAGAATAAAGTTGTATTAAAAATATTTATACAATCGTAAACTAAATATCACAACGTTATGACCAAAACAAAGATATATCAAAATACAAAAATATACAGTACATATGATTTCATGTACAATTTATTTTGTTGATAATATTAACAACAAACCCAACTTTTTGTTTTTCAGCCTTTTTCTTAAACATTCGATTACTACTCACTCGTACTTTATTTGCCGTAGCTTTTCTGTTTTCTATGAAAATGAACGATATTTTTTATCAACAAAAAGATTCTCCAGAGCTGATATGAATTGCGAAAATTAAATATATTTAAAATGCAACATTATCATAAAAGAATCGCAAAACTTTAAGTATTATTTTTTGTGAGTAAAAATAACAAATTAATTTATTCATAGTTATTCGGCGTTTGTTTACACCGGTAGGTAAATTTACCGAAATACACCCCAATTGACTACCTCAATCTGAAACTGTCTCACTTGATAATCAGTGTCATTGATGGGTTATACAAAATTGAGTTTAGTACTTATTATAAGATAAATAGATATATTTCTGTATATATGTAACAACATTTATATTTTACATTCCACATTTAAAGTACATGTAAAATATAACCTGTGTAGGTGTACGACACGTAGCCATGCCAGAAGGCTTAACTAGTACCTCCACCTCATACCCCTAGTATATACAAAATACTAGTCAAGCTGTGCAATTTTTAATAGAAATCCTTTTTTATCAAATACATAATTATAACTTTTACTAGTAAGGTTATGTTTAACTTTTGATTTAAGTCTTCAATTATTCATTTTCATTGCCAGATAGATAAGAAGGCATTATAAATAGTATAGTTCAGAGTTGATATGTTCCATTGATTGTTTATTACAGTTTGTATTCTTTCATAAATAAAGATATAAACAACAAAAGATTTTGGTGTTATTATCATGACCTAATAATTGCAGCATTTTTATGCACAGAAGTGCTTTTACAAAATGAAGGTCAGATACATATAAGTTAATATTATTTAACAATAAATTCAAGTTGTCAGCTGATTGTGGCCTTTGCAGTCTCTAAATTTGGTAGTGTGGTTGGTTATTATCTTGGTATTGACTTTGAAACCAGTAGTCAAAAAGTCCGGTGACAAAAAAGCTTTTAGCATCTATAAAAACATGACTAATTTGTTGACATTATAGGAGCATACATGTTTTCAGCTAAGTTTAGGACAACTGTCATAGATTATACTAGTAACCACCAAATATATTTCAATTTAGACATTTATATTGTTATAAAGTATAAATATCATTAATTTTGAAAATATTCTAAAGCTATGAGACATTTTGCACTGAATTTACGCCGATTATCTTTTTTAAAGATATTTCTTGTTAATGTTTGTTTTCAGTTGCTACTTACTTAAATTACCTTTTTAACTTAACACATGTAAATATATACTCTTTAAAATTTAAAAATTGTAACCCCAAGGGGGCAATTAGAGGGTAAAAAAAATCATCAATATATGTTTGGGAATTTTTTTTGCTATATATTAAAATAAAAAGTGGGAAATTTTACTGATGGTAAAAACTTTCAGTTTGTGAAGATTGGGTTAGATCATTTTTTAAAGGGCCCCGTTGCTACTGCCCGATGGAGAATTTACTCGACATGTCTCCAAAATTTTTTTTGTTAAACTTTCCCCCTAATTTACAAATTTTCATGGCCCGAAAACTGGGGACCTAAAATTTTAATTTTGGGGAATTTCCAAAAGGTACGGGGAAAAAACTAGAAATTTCCCGCATATAGATATGCTAACCCTTTTTGGAAATTTTAAACCCAAAATTTTAAAATTTTTTATCGGCCTCTTTCTCACAGTCCTGCTACAGAAGTCTTTTATAAATTTTATTTTGGTCTCTAACCCATCACTATTATGCCAGAAAACCTTTAACTTATCACAAACTTTTTTTCCCTTTCTGTGACGTATATTATTTAACTGCTATATAATATATGCGTATAACTGTTACTTATTTCTGCCACAAACAATTTCTATCATGGATTTAGTTCTCCTTTTAACCGAAATAATTGGTACTTTACTATTTCAAAATGAGCCTAATTTAAACCCTGTATCCATTTTCATATTAACCATTTTGAATTTTACTTTGAAATATTAAATTTAATTTGTATTTACCTTATGCCAGTTAATCTTAACTGCATTCTCCTTGTGCCCGTTAACCTTAACTAGCATTTATATTGGGTGTACTAAACCATAACTTTTTCACCTAAATGGCTATTTGTAAAGAAACATTAATAAATATTAAAATATTTATCATATTGGCCCTTTGTTGGGACACTTTTAACCTTTTAAAATTTTTATTTCTAACCAATAAATTTAAAAACATTAACACTGAGTGTTAAATACAATAAGCAGGATGATGAAGAAAAAATATTTTAAATGAGCATGTAAAAATCTTGTTTTGAAATTCAGATAACCTCATTGTGGAATAAAATTTTAGTTACCACCCCGTAATTCTCTCACATTACATCAAGAATAAGCAAGCATTTTTCTTACATACCCACCTTGTTGTGTGTAGTTAGGATATAAAAATCTAAGTTCTATACAGAATAAAATCAACGTTGTTTAAAAGCAGACATTAAATCTTTGGAAAGGAATATAAAAACAAGGCAATTTAAAAGAACATAGATAATCCAATAAAAGATAGTGAACTAAAAGCCTTTAGTCTAGTCAGATGTTTTCCAAGATAAATGTTAGTCCCCCGAAAATATCATCTGCTTGTAAAACACACAAAACTTCCTTTCCCTCTTACCTGGGGGGAAAAATCAACAAAAGCTTTTTTAAAATTAAATAAACACTTCCCCACCCCCTTGAAAAGGAAGAATAGTAAACCTTTAAACCCTACCCTTTTTTATTGTAATGAAGCTTTTTAAACCTAATGAATAAAATCAGGGAAATTTTGAAATTTTATTGTCTAAATTTTTTTTTTTATTTTTGTGAAAATAAATTAAACCCAAAAAACTGTTTTCTAATTTTGGAAGAAATTAGTGGGGTTTTTTAAAACCCAGATTAATGATATATATTAAAAATGTGTTTTTTGGGTTTAAAGGGGGTGAAAACTTTTAATTTTGAGGGGTTTTAAAGATGGGTGGAAAAATTAGCCCGTTTTTTTTAAGTTGGTTTAATACAGGAGATAAAGTTTTATCAATTCATAAACCACTCAGGACTGTTGATGGAACATCCAAACAATAGGGGTGGGAGAAATCCCAATTTTTGGTGGGTTTATATGAAAACTGGGTGGGAAAACTTTACCAATCCAGAGATTAGATAACAAAAAGTGCGGGGAAGCAGTACAGTTTAAATTACCATACAACCCTTGATTAATGACCCCATATACCATAACAAATTTCATTGTGAATTAATTCTGGCTGCCGATCAAAATAAAACAAGATATCTTACAGTTTTTGGCATTTGGGAATTTATTACAATAATTTTGTATAGATATTGACACTTGGGATATACACCATATATACTCTGCTGTGAAAATTGATTCCATTTTGGATTTAAAAGGCTTTTTGGAAATACAACTTAAAAACCTCACTTTTTTATTTTTTTTCTGGATAGAAAAACATTGAATGAATTATCAAAAAATTAAAGGTCAATAATTATTCAAATTTTAAATATTTTTGAAAGAAATATATAACTGGTTATTTAAACTGGAGGAGGAAATATAAAAACAGATTTAATCTAAAATAATATATATACAAAAAATAAAAGTAATCAAAATTTTAGATAAGAAATTTTTTCTTTTAAATTTGATAAACTGCATGATTTTGATAAATCTGAGACTAAACACATCTCCTCGGTTATCAACAGTCTGTGCTACTGATAGGCTCAAGTCTGCAGTTCCCTGATAAGTCAGTTGCAGAGTTAAAAGTTCTTGGCAAAGGAAATAAAAATCTGGATATTTAATGACGTACATGGAAGTGTGGACATGACATTATGTGATTAAAATTCTCCATGTAACATTCCAGAGAATAGAATACATTTAAAGGATTGTTGTAGAGATTTCAAAATGTCACAGGAATAAAATTATATACTTACATTCAAATAATCATTCAGAAAAAGGATTTTGAGGAATCGCGCTTAACAATATAGTAGACAATTTGTATATTTTTCAAATATATATTTTATGTTGTTTTTTTAAAAATATTGTTTGCCGGATCAAAAGTTAATTTTTTTTCCTTACTTAAAAATCAAATTTTGAAATACGTCTCTAATATCAAAGAATCTCGTCTAGGGACTTTCACTTGATAGTACTTGATATTGGGTGTAACATTAAAAGACAATTACATAATTGCTTGGAGATAGACATCTCAATTATGATAACAAGAACTTTGTAAATATATGTCTACTTTTTAAAGTTTGAAACTTACTAAGGAAGAAGAACATAACTTTAAGAGAAGAAAACATCATTAATTTGAATTAAGAATTTAAAGACGGTAACGCCAGCTGCGTGTTTGATAGCAAAATTTTAAAAAAAAAGATTTGGGTCTAAGCCCGTATTAAAGGGGGAATATCCTTTTGTTTTTTCTACTTCAGGTTTGTGTTATCTGTATATAAAATATATTATAAACCCTTTTAGTTAATCCCTTTTAAACCCCCCAACTTTACTTGTTATATTTCCCCTTTAAAAATTTTCCCTTTTTTTTTTAAATGTGTAAATTTAGGGGAAAAACCCGGGCAAAAGGCTTAGGCCCGTTTTTAATCAAATAGGGAAAATTTGCTCAAAAAAAATTGGGAAAAAGGTAAAAATTAAAGCTTTCTGGGTAACATCCCATGTGGTTTTTATTTTTCTTAATTAATTTTTGGGAGCCTTCAGTAATTTTGAAATTAAAGTATAGAAATTTTTCAAACCCCGGATTCTTTCTTTTTAAAAGGGGAAGGAATTTTTTGGGATTGAAAAAAGTGGGTTGTTAAAATGAAACCTTTTTAAAAGTTAAAGCAAAAGATACCTATAATCAAAACGAACTAAAAACACACAAGTTTTCCTATTCACATTTCGTGCAGGAACATCATCATCATCATGTTATCAAGAAAAAAGTCACCAAAAAACTATGTTAAAAACTTTAAAACTATTTTAATTATCTTCCTTTAAAGTATTTTGTCCTGTTTTGAAACAAACAATTTTTTGTTGTCAATGTATATTTTACAAGGATGAAAAACAAGAGCAGTGTACCTGTAGGTATTTTATGTGTTTCTGATCTGATTAAACACCTTTTAATGATCACAACTATTTTTTGTACCAACTCCTCATGTTACTTAAATAACCCATTAAAGAAATAACCCATTAAAGTTAGAGATTCACATAATAAAATACCAACACTTTTTATATAATAAAATAATATAGCATTGTCAGATATACAATTCTATGAGAGATTTTCATCTCTATATTTCATAGCTTAAATGTTTTTTTTTTCAGTAATGCATACTATAAATTGAAAATAAAAAATAAACAAACTGTATAGCAAATATACTGCACCAGTACTACAGGTTCAGTTCATGTCTGATACTTCAAACATCTTGGCATGTGTACAAGAAATTTAGAGTTGAAATTTACAGTAAATTAGCTGGATATTGGGATATTAATTACCCTGCTATTTCAATTACAGTAATGGGTTTCAATGCAACTACTTGCCATTAAGTATCTCCTACTCATAATATACCAATTAATATGCTTGTTAAAACAAATTTGAAGCAACACCCTTCCTGGATATAAAATGAAAATTAACCAACGTTATGCAATAGATTTTTATGAATGAAAACATTACAAGTTATCATATGACTGTTTAATTATTCAGGTTTTGTTCTATAACTGTTCTGTTCTAAAACAAATTGTTTGTTGTTGTTTTTTTGCTAGAGCAAGTAAAATAAATTATTTCAAACTGACTTGTAACTGATGTTTCCATCAAGATGACAAATGCTGAGCTGTCAATACCTTATGTTTTAGTAGTTATAGTAATACATAATAGAAACATTTAAATCTACTTCTGAAAATCCTTTTAGCATAAATTATGTGACTTTAAATGTTGACTTCCATTAAGTTAATATGTATCTATGTTTCTAGACACTTTTATACATAGTTCTGCATGACTGAAGTAATTAATGCCTACAAGATAAGATTTACAATAAATAATATTAAATTGAGCCACGCCATGACAAAAACGAACATAGTGCGTTTGCGACCAGCATGTGCATCCGTGCAGTCTGGCCAGGATCCATGCTGCTCGCTATCAGTTTTACTACTTGTAATAGGGTTTGTAAGCGAACAGCATGGATCCTGATCAGACTGTGCAGGCCTGTCTGGATCCATGCTGGTCAAAAACGCACTATGTTCGTTTTGTCATGGTGTGGCTCATTTATAGATGTTTATAGATAGTCAGATACAAGAAACAAACAAAGATTTTATAATAAATTACACATAATGTATAAAGACATATTTGGAATCTACTAAGTAAATTTTTTGATAAATGACACATAATGTGTACACTATTAAGTAAATTGAGAAAGACATAATCATTTAAGTTAAATTATGGTCTCTGGTTCCAGGATTATATTATTCTAAAATTGTGCAACTATAGTCTAATTAGCTAAAGCTAAATTGAAACTCAATACAATTTTCAATGGCAAAATGATTTGTAAGTTGATTAAACATTTTGAATGGCATTAAGGCATATGATTACAACATATTTGTATGCATAAACATTAGACTTTTATATCATAAAACATTAATTTATGAAGGTTGTGGAAATCTAAATTTCTAATTTAACTTCAAAGAAGCATGCAATGAATGAAATATTTCATGCATTAAACTATTTTTGCACAAAGCTTTAGTCCAATATTACAAGTTTTCACTCAAACTTCAGCTTCTCTCTTCTTTCTAGAACAGGCAAGACTTAAAGGAAATACTAATACTGGATTTTCCATAGCAATCTCATCTTATCCTGATGGAAGCTTGCTGATTACATGTGTATGAATGGATTACCAGAACTCTATGTAAAAATTCCAGGAAGATAAAAAAGTCTAAAAGTATAGCTAACATTTAATTTGCAAACAAGAATAAATTTGTACGGCTGCTGTAAAATTTATACAATTATGATGAAGGTGAATTGTACTTGTTTTCTTTGAAGTAGAACAGTTTCTGTTGTATGAAATTTGGCAATAATAGATTCTATCAAAAGGTCACGCAGGCATTTTATTGCACAATTTTACAATACATGTATATTATTGTTTGGTTTTCAATATTTCTAGAATTAAGAATATTTTTCATTTGATAGTACCAAAATGGACAGTTCCAATAATGCAAGCTGCATGGACAAGTCCATTTATGCTCAACTAAATCAACAAGTAATACCTTTAATATCTTCACATGAAAATAAAATGGTGCAGAGAAAGAACTTGGCAATGCAAATATATACCATTAAATATAACTAACTTAAATCAATAATTGTTTCTTCACTGACCATGACACACCCTATCATGTGGAAGTTGTAATTCACAAATATGTCTGTTATCTTAACAAGTATATCTAAAGTTTTTCTTGTTGATAACAAGGGAGATAAACTAATGAATGAGGTGCACAAGCAGGTTAATGTGAAGGAATTTTATCAAAAGTAGGCAGCTGCTGTAGTAACCAATATGTCATCACTGAAAATCCGGAAACTGGCAAACAAATTTCGATAACCCTTCATGCTGGTGAAAATTATCACTAGATATGTAGATAAATATGTGAAATAAAAAAAAAGTATGTTGTTACTTGGAAAATCAGAACAAACATGTCTATAGATTTGGGATGAAGTCCAATGTCTTCATTAACTTTATATACATTTATAATACAGAAAATACAAAAAGTATCAAGTTTCTAAATTCTACCTAATTTTACTATAAATTGTTCTTTTATGACCATAATTAACATAATATATATGTTTAAAATACTTCAATCAGACCAGTAACTAATTCACAGGGTTTTCACACAAAAATAGAATATGTTCTAAATATTTGTGCTGTAAAAAACTATAAAAAAACTCCCAACAAAACATCAAACTACCTTTACTATAACTTGAAAATAAATCATTAATTTACACTGCTCTACTTAAGTGGTCTGATAACCGAATTTCTCACACATGATTAATTTATTTCCATGGTTTTTGTATTTTCCTTCCATTTTTTTCAAAGACTATGTTTTTGTAGTAATTAGTTCAGGAAAGATATGTACAGTGTAAATCTGCAAAGGAATTATGATAAAACAGTGTTGAGTAGATCCTGATTACGTGCTGTGTTTTGTTGTATATTTTCTCATCAATCTTTGTTACCTCTAATACAATCTTATGACAGGATTTATTTGTGAGATCCAAACATAGTTTTCTCAACATTTTCATTAGTCAAACTATGTCAATATTTTCCCAATGCAACTTGACAGATTTGATACAATATGTTTCTTTTATATTCCCAGACAGTAGTAATTTGAAGCCTGGTATTTTATATCATGCACTCACCCAACAATTAACTGAGATGTCTATAAAACCTGTCTGTGATAGTATGCCTTTGTAATTTGTATTCCTCATTAACAACAATTCCTGTGACATAAACACCAGTTTTTACACTAATTATCCCAGTTAAATGTCATTACAAACATTTTTATTGTCGACTGTTAATTAAACATAGTTTCCATTCACTTTGACATGGAATTTGTTCCCATGAAATGAAAAGGAATTCATGTTGGAATATTTCTGTAACTATTATTTTTGGAAAATATATATAAAAAATATATTCTGTAACTGCAGCTCACATAGAATCAATACATGTTTGTGTATGGAAAGTCAGCAAATGTTTAAAGCTTTAATACTTGGATGTAAATAAAATGTATATAATAATCATTCTACAAAATTATTTAACAGAAACAATTTATGAAGAAATATAATGGACAAAAAGAGTAGGGAATATGATTCTTTGCAATTCAAGTAAAAAACAAGAGTTATAAGAGTTATAGAGTTTATAAGAGTTATTATTATAGTTATAGATGACAGATCACTAAATCTGAAAGCTTAGTGCAAAGTTACATGACATTGTATACAATATCACCTAATAAAACAACATAGCTTACTGCTTATTTCTTTCATGATGCAAGCTGTTTTGCTTACAACATAATAAATAACAGCAAAACATTGTTCTTTTGGTTTGCCTGTTTGCATAGACACCTTTAAATATTCATGGACAATTTAAGGCAAGTAACTGATTTTGACAAAGCAATCAGAGAGATACTAGCTTTCCTGTATAACACCATCATACTAGTCAAGATAGCAGCAGGCACTGTGAGGTCTAAGCAAGAATGCTGAATTTCTTTTTGATAGTTCCTCATTCAGAGCAATACAAGTCTATTACACAACAAAACTTATTCAAACAATTTATACAATTGTATTTACCATTCTTAAACCAAACTCATAATCATAAAAACTCTGATATTTGCTCCATCAA